ATCTATCTATCTATCTATCTATCTATCTATCTATCTATCTATCTATCTATCATCTAACTATTTCTATCTATCTATCTATCTATCTATCTTTCATCAGACTGTTTATATCTATATCTATCTAATATTTCTCTATCCTATCTATCTATCTATCTATCTATCTATCTATCTATCTATCTATCTATCTATCTATCTATCTAATCTGACCATCTATCTTATCTATCTACCTATCTATAATCTGACCATTTCTATCTATCTATCTAATCTGACAATATCTATCTATCTATCTATCTATCTATCTATCTATCTATCTATCTATCTATCTATCTATCTATCTATCTATCTATCTATCTATCTATCTTCATAGCAAAACTCTAGCAACCACCCCGGGTACCCTAGCAACCTCATAGCAATACCCTAGCAACCCCCGAATACCCTAGCAACCGCATAGTATCACCTTAGCAACCACTCTCAGTACCCTAGCGATCGCGTAGCAACACCCTAGCAACAACCCTGAGTACCTTAACGACCACATAGCAACACCCTAGCAACCGCCCCGGGTACCATGGCAACTGCATAGCAGCACCTTAGCAACCACATAGCAACACCCTAGCAACCACCCTAAGTGCCCTAACAACCGCATAACAACACCCTCGCAACTACCCAAAGTACCCTAGCAACCGCATAGCAACACCTTAGCAACCACTCTGGGTACCTTAGCAACCGCATAGCAGCACCCCAGCAATCACCCCAAGGTCCCTAGCAACCGCAAAGCAACACCTTAGCAACTACCCCGAGTACCTTAGCAACCGCATAGCAACACCCTAGCAACCACCCCAAGTACCTTTGCAACCACATAGCAAAGCCTTAGCAACCAACCGGGCTAATCATGCTAGCAACATGCTAGTAGCATGCTAATCATGCTAGAAACAGGATAACAACATGCTAGTAACTTGCTAATTATGCTAGCAAATTGCAAGTCACTTGTTAATCATGCTAGAAACATGATAGCGACATGCTAGTAACGTGCTAATCATGCTAGCGAAATGCTAGTCACTTGCTAATCATGCTAGCAACATGCTAGTAAAATGCTAATCATGCTAGCAACATGCTAGTAAAATGCTAATCATGCTAGCAAAATGCTAGTAACTTGTTAATCATGCTTGCGACATGTTAGTAACATGCTAGAAACATGCTAGCGACATGCTAGTAAGTTGCTAATAATGCTAGCGACATGCCAGTCACTTGCTAATCATGCTAGTAACATACTAATCATGCAAGAAACATGCAAGCGACATGTTATTAACCTGCTAATCATGCTAGCAACATGCTAGTCACTTGCTAATAATGCTATCAACATGCTAGTCACGTGTTAATCATGCTAATTGTTAAACACCCCAGCAATCACCCCAAGTACCCTAGCAACCGCATAGCAACACCTTGGCAACTACCCCGCGTACCTTAGCAACTGCATAGCAACACCCTAGCAACCACCCCAAGTACCCTTGCAACCACATAGCAATGCCTTAGCAACCAACCGGGCTAATCATGCTAGCAACATGCTAGTAGCATCTATCTATCTGTTAGAAAACACTCTCTGTTTTGAGAATGCCGTACCCCTCCTTTCTCACTCTTTCTCTCTCCTTCTCTGAATCACCCCTCCTCTATCTGTTCTCTCTCTCTCTTGTATGGTGTTTGAATGTCTCTTACTCAATATTCAAGGTAAAGGAGTTTGTGCTGATTTATAAGGGGGGTTCAGCCTCCGTCGCCAGGAAGTCTATTCCTTATAGGGATATGTTTTTCTGTATATGTGGCAATTTTATACAAAACACGTTCTTGGGAAAAACATCCTGTATGGGTATGTCCCCCTATCCTCATTGGTTAAGAGGGTAAAAACTCCCCTCGACATGCCTATATAAGATCTGTATTTCTGTGAATAAATTGAAGTATTTGAGAATACCATTTGAATGTGTGTTTTCTTACTTCCCGGCCGTATTTATACACTTGGAGAGACTGAGAAGATTTCACGGTGGCAAAGAGATATCGAGGGACCAAATTGTTATTTATTAACACTATCTATCTATTTAATCTGACCATTTCTATCTATCTATCTAATCTGACAATTTCTATCTATCTATCTATCTATTTATCTATCTATCTATCTATCTAATCTGACAATTTCTCTATCAATCAATATATCAATCTATCTATTTATCTATCATCTGACTATTTTTATCTGTCTATCTATCTATTTAATCTGACCATTTCTATCTATCTATCTAATCTGACAATTTCTATCTATCTATCTATCTATTTATCTATCTATCTAATCTGACAATTTCTCTATCAATCAATATATCAATCTATCTATTTATCTATCATCTGACTATTTTTATCTGTCTATCTATCTATATAATCTGACCATTTCTATCTATCTATCTATCTATCTATCTATCTATCTATCTATCTATCTATCTATCTATCTTCTATCTATCTATCTATCTATCTATCTATCTATCTATCTATCTATCTATCTATCTATCTTCATAGCAACACTCTAGCAACTGTCCAAACCAACCTAGCAACCAGCCCGGGTACCCTAGCAAGCGCATAGCAACACCTTAGCAACCACCCCGGGTACCCTAGCAACCTCATAGCAATACCCTAGCAACCACCCCGAGTACGCTAGCAACCGCATAGCAACACCTTAGCAACCACCTAGGGTACCCTAGCAACCGCATAGCATCACCTTAGCAACCACCCCGAGTACCCTAGCAACCGCATAGCAACACCCTAGCAACAACCCCGCGTCCACCCAGAACACCCTAAATACGCCATAGCAACACCCTAGCAACCACCCAGAACACTCAAGCAAGCGTTTGTCTATCTGCAATCTGTCTGATAGACTACATGACCTTAAAATCTTCAAACTTTAAGCTTTTAAAACTACTTCTACTATCTTCTGCTCAGGCTTTCTTAAGTTTCTTTTAAAAATCTAGTCTGGTCTATTATAATCTGATCTTTTGAATAAGGTCCAAAAAGGTCAGAATAAAAAGAAAAAATTATCCAGTTAGCAACCATATATATATATATATATATATATATATATATATATATATGCGGGGATAAACTCATAGTTCTCCTACTTATACGCTAGTGGGAGTGGCGTAGTCATACATTTAAACATCTTAAAGCCTTTGGTTACACTTGGCGTAGTCGGCAGGGAAAGTCTGTACAATAGTACAAAGGTATTGTGGTAGTGTTTTGTTATATATACATACATATACACATATATATATATATATATATATATCCAGTACGTATCCAGCCCAGATGGTGGATCAGCACCTAGAGACGACCTCTACAGCCTTGTCTCCTAGACGGCCACCGGGACAAGACCACAGGAACCAGATGAGTCCTCTGCACAATGTGACTTTGCTGCAGCCTGGAATTGAACTGCTTTTTTCGTCTGGCCAGAGGAGAACTGGCCCCCCGACTGAGCCTGTTTTTTTCCAAGGTTTTTCCTCCATTCTGTCACCGATGGAGTTTTGGTTCCTTGCCTCTGTCGCCTCTGGCTTGCTTAGTTGGGGACACTTAATATCCAGCGATATTGTCGACTTGATTGCACAGATACTATTTACACTGAACTGAGCTGGATCATGACATCACTGTATTCAATGATAAACTGCCTTTAACTGAAAATTGAGTGTTTATTGAGTGTCATTTTGCATTAATGACAGACTATTGACCTATTTAATACTGTAAAGTTGCTTTGACATAATCTGTATTGTTAAAAGCGCTATATAAATAAAGGTGACTTGACTTGACTTGCCACATAAAGAAGAAAAATGTAAATTCAATACAGCAGTGTGTGGTTTTTTTTTCTCTTAAACAAATCACCTTTAGATCTTCTCAGATCAGAAATTTCAATACCTTATACTCAAATAACAATAGGTACTCAAATAATACTACTTAAGTTGTATCCGTAAGAAACAGTAATACACTTCCCTTTTGAAATATTGCACTAAAACAGCAGTCAGAATGCAAACACTCAATATAAATCAAATGAACAAATGAAATAGCAGCTGTGTAATGTGGGCCCACACACTCACTCTCAGTTTCAATAACCCCTACCTGTTGCAAGCCTGTTTCTTCACTTGAGAACGGTGTGGCCGTTAAAACCAACAAATGGCCTCTTCACTCCGAAGAGCTAAATAAACAAACAAGATTACCTGTGGTCCAATTGCGTTGACAAACTTGCCGATCCCGTTAGAAACTCCATATTCGTCTGTCGTTTCACCCAATGCCCGCTGAATGACAATGAATCCCGCGAATGCCAGAGCCATAACGAATGTAAATCCGTTTAAACTCTTAGTCAGAGTAAACGAAAGACACCAAATAAAAGAAAGGTTTTTAATTTGTTAAATATAAGATCAATAAGAAGATCACACTGTGTAGAATTCCTGTAAATGGGGTTGTCACTCCCATATTTTAGTGAATTGTGTGTGTACAGAAAGTGATTAAGGAGTAAAAGGTGAACTGACAAACGAATTTAGCTGCAATGTGTATGTGGACATTGATCTAAGCCTACCCATAGGAAACATTTATTGCTCATCGGTTGCTTTTCCTAAGCTCAGGAGACTTAGATGAAATTCTCATATATCTCTCATTTTAGTATCAACAGCATTTCAGGGCCCGTATTCTTAAAGATTCTAAGAATCCTCTCAGAGAGCTCCTAATTTAGCTTAAACATTTCTACATAGGAGTCTTAGCTTAGAGCAATTCAGGACCAATCTGAGAGCAAATCTAAGCGAGAAAAAAAGACACAAACTTTCATCTTTGTGAGGAGGCGGAGCTGACCCCTCTGCTCTTTTAAAGACTGTGATTGGCTGGTTGTTAAAGAAGGGAAAATAGAGAGAGTGCTTTAGGGTTTATTATAAGCCTTCACTTTGAAATGACATGCGTAATTTTTCCTATTTTACTCTCTCTCTCACACACACACATTAAATACAGTATATGTACATATATATATATATAGGGAACATTTAATGAAAAAGTCAGTGAAAGTGATTTTGTGCCTCTTTGAGATGGCACAATAATATGCCTTTCACTTGCAGAACGCAAACTTCTAGAGGGCACATAACTCTGAATTAATGAATTTAGGTAAATGGGTGCAGAGCCAGTGGTGGCTTTATAGGCAAACATTAATGCCTTGAATTTAATGCGAGCAGCTACTGGTAGCCAGTGCAAATATATATATATTCGTACTTTTTATTTACCATGCTGTTAATGTTGTACTTACGGTATTTCATAGGAAATGAACAGTAACACAATAAGGTTCTGAAAGTGCTGTAATTTTTTGTGTGATCACTTTGCTTATAGAAGATTATATATCCCTGCAGGCCCAGATTGTGTTACACCAGTCTGTCTGAAATCCTGTGCTGACCAGCTAGCCCCCATCTTCACACAGATCTTCAACAGATCACTGGAGCTGTGTGAAGTCCCTTCATGCTTCAAATGCTCCACCATCATCCCCGTCCCAAAGAAACCTGTGGCTCTAACGTCTGTGGTCATGAAGTCTTTTGAAAAACTGGTGCTGGCCCACCTGAAGGACATCACTGGACTCTTGCTGGATCCTCTTCAGTTTGCCTACAGAGCAAACAGGTCTGTGGACGATGCAGTCAACATGGGACTGCATTATGTTCTGCAACATCTAGACAGACCAGGGACTTATGTGAGGATCTTGTTCGTGAACTTCAGCTCGGCCTTTAACACTATCATTCCAAACCTCGTCCTGCCCAAACTAACTCAGCTCTCCATGGCCACCTCCGTCTGTCAG